CTCCCTGAATGTGTATAACAGGATTAAAAATCTTGTAAATATATGTGACACATCTTACATGATGTGTTGCACATAGTAGGTGCTCATCTATGTGCCCAATATAAAACACACACACACACTTCTGTGGCCATCTGTCACCTGATGGATTGTTGTAGCTAAAATTCCCAACCATTAATTGGATTGCAGATTGATTTGTTTATTTCATTTGAAAACAGTGGGCAAATACAAAAGAAATTAAAATGATAGGGAAATTTACATGATGGAATTTGCTTTGCATTTCAAAAATTAATCTTCAAAAACTCCTTGTCATTGGGGTTACCAGGGTGTCACCGGCAAACGCCACGGCAGAGCGAGCTGCTTTGCCACCTCCTTTATCCAAAGGTATTTATTTTATTTTCTGTTTGCATTCTGGCTCCCGGAGTCTCTAGGCTGGCATCATGTTAGATGATAAATCCATTTGTTTGGGCAACTTCAGGAGGAATTTGCCCAGAAAACTGGCTGGAGCTGCCTTTGAAAAAGCCAAATTAAGTCTCCAGCAGACTGGGGTCCCTTCCAAATGAGTTCCCAGTAGGCAGGAAGCATCCGGTTGGGTACCGTGTGCAGCCTACACTGAGAGCCCTAAACCATGAGAAACAAAGACCCCCAAACCATTGGCAGGTGGATCGATTGGCAGGTACGAGACCACATTCCTTTGTCTGCCGCCCAGCTTATTCCCGAGCCCTGTCCACCCTTCGTGGAGGAGCAAAGCTTAAATGCTGACAAATTCCCCCCTCCATAAGAAATCGCTCCTGCAATTTGTCTTTTTAGCTGAGCTTCTGTGGGCCTGTGTAGCATTAAAAAAAAAAATTGTTGTCCTTGTCACCTGCCATTTTTCCAGCCAGCCTGACACCCCCGGGCTTCCCAACAGCTCTCTCCAGCAGGAGCTGTCTGTGAGCTCTTAGCACCACCAAATAATTGAGGGTGACACATCCCTTGTTCATTGTTTTTCCAGCCCTGCAAAAATGCAAATATTCCATTGTAGTCATTAATTTCCCCATCCTTTCCTGCAAGCGGCTCATCGGCGTGGTCTCATGAAAAAAAAAGAGAGAGAGAGAGAGAGCTGAAGGCAGGCGTAATTACAAACTGGTGGCACCAGGCTCCTGCCCACGGAGGGGAGAATCTCATCAGATCAGATCTCAGGGAGGTGATCAATCACACCCGCTGACAACCATTTTGCTTCGTTTGTTACAGATGTGAACATGCTTAATTATTTGTAGTGTAATTAGTTCATGAAATGTCAGGAAATGTCAAACTGTGTTCACAGCACAGAATTTTTTTTTCCCCTCACCACAAAGAGCGGCGAGAGCAAGTGTCACTGGGAAATGAGAAGGACAGTGTCTACAGGCAAATGGGAGAAAGGCACAGGGAACAAATGAGGGTCAAAAATATTGAGATTAGGCATTTTGGAGAAGTCAACTTTCAAAAAAAAAATATTCCAGGTGTGTGTCAGACAAGTGGGCTGTGACAAGCGAGACATTGCTAGGGTCCTGCCAGGGGAGTTTGAGTTTGAGTCTGTTAGCCGTGAATTTAAAGGCAATGGATTTTAATGTTAAGGGATGTCATATTTTTAGCAAGATCTGGACCTGTGGAGACAGCCTCTCCCATATATCCCTGTGCTAGAAGTCGGAGAAATTGCCTTCTTCCTTGACTACTTACATTTAGGTGAATAAAAGACCAGGCATGGAGTTGGTCTCTGGGTGAAGGAAGAACATCCTGCCGTAGGAAGAAAAGGTGCCTGCCCTCAAGGAAGAGAGCAACATCCTCCAGCTTGGTACACATCTCCTTCCCTTTGGACACTAGCGAATTCTCCCCATAGTAAAAAAGCCAAGATTCCCAAGAGAGGTTGGTGTTGGAGGTAAAGGAACTTGATTCCTTCACTAAGTTCCCAGAGCAAAGTAAGCCCACCTGAGACATAGTCCAGTGTGGCAGTGGCCCTCTGGACAAGAGCACACACTTCCTGGTGTATGACTCTGTCTAGGGTTTGTGTCTTTGTTTATTGTTTATTTTGTAAGATTGGTGGATGGTTAGGTCATGCTAAAACTAAAGCTATCTAGCCACAAAAGAGGAGTCTGATAATTCTAGGAAGTGTTGTGACCTGCTTGTGAACTCAGGGTGCCACGAAACACACCCTTAGACAAGCACCATTCAGCAGCCTGATCACTTCCATCAACCAGTGTGCTAGAACCCACTACTCCCCCTCCCCAAAGAGAGAAACACCCTTGTGAAAAGCTGAAAGACAGTCAGTTGACTGACACCTTACAGATGCTCTCTGATTGACAGCCTGTGGTTGAGTCTCTCGACAGCTTCTCTGCTTAGCAAAATAGTCCAGCAATCTTCAGATGGCAGAGCTGGGCGCCAAAGATGGCCACAGTTGGTGAGTGCTGACAGACGCTTCCTCCTCTGCTGGAGACCCGGTCAAGTTTGAAGATCATACCCCAGGATATTCAATTGCCTGAAAGCTTCATGAACTCAATCTCCAAAGAATGATCAGCTAAGCCAGACTGTCTCTGGTTCATCTCATCTCTTCCTCACACTATGCCAACTCCATCTGTGAACGGCTCCCGGGGACTTCCATGCCTACCTGAGCTGGTAGCCTAGGGGTTGATTAGCCCATGCTGTGACTGCTACAATCCACATCACACTGTTTTGAGGTCCACCAAGGAACTCTCCCTGGATGTGCACGCCTCTCTGGAAATGAGCCTATGCATAAAATACTCCTACTCCTGATTTTTCATACTCCTACTCCTGATTTTTTTTTAAGTGAATCTTTAACAACAGAAAGCTATCTACCAGTGAGGTCATGAGACCCCACCAAGAGATACGGACTCTGAGCTAGAAGCCACTGTTTTTTTTTAATTACAACATTGATAAAATTTTGAGTGGAAGAGAGAGAAAATATCACACACACACACACACACACACACACACACACACACACACCATATGGGTGTGTGTGTGCAGATAAGTGTAGCAGCCTTCTACTAACTAGGACACAGATTTCATTTGACACTAAGCATTGGGGAATTCTGGGAGGGTTGACGCTGGGTCTGTGTTTCCAGCTTGGCTCTGAAAAGCAGCGAATGACAAGGCGGGGCAGTGGAAAGTTCCAGTGACCTTCCCCAGAGCTGGGTTCTCATTTCTAGCCTTGGGTCCCCACTGTCCCTTTCCAGGCTACAAAGAGCCCCTCAGTGTATCTTAGGAACAACATCGGCTGCTTGATTCCCTCCCAGCTTTTCATCCTGGTAGGTATGCTCTCCCTCGGAGCTGGCTGGGTCTGTATCGCTCACTCTCAGTGCAACGGGAAGACGCAACCACACCTCCGTCCACCTTTTGTGTGTGAAGTTGCAGCCGTGAATTTAATAGAGAGAGAATGCTGTGGCTACTTAATGGCTTCCCAGACAGCGATGGCCTGGAGAATTAAATTTCACATCTGCTTTCATGGCGTTAATCTCTCTCCTCACACTCCGCCTGTTATGATGTGCGCTCGAGAGATAATGTTTAAACTGACTAAAGCAAAGTAAACCAGACAAGTCTACCATTGGCTTTATAATTACATAATTAACTTTTTGTCTCTAATCGTTATGGAGGTAATGGTGCTGTTAAAATGGGCTTCTCTTGAGCAGAAACTAAATCAAAAATCAATAATCCATAGAATGCCATTAAGGCCTGTAACAGCCCTTGTTGGATTCACTCAAATTTTTGTACTGCAAATGAATTTCATTAGGACGTCGAATGTTATCGCGCAAGCTGACTTTCAACTGATAGCAAGGAACTCGGCATCGCAATCAGCCACACGCAGGAAACTGGACAAACGTTGCCGTAAATTACACCATGCTTGTAATGCGGTAACTGTACAGTGATTGACCCCCTGGAAATTAATTCTATTTTCCATGAACCCTCCTTTATTTCTAATTTACATTACGATCATATATGTCTGAAAAATGATATAATAAAAAAGATTAATGTACTAATTACGTGTCTCCTTATCTCCTTCCCTGATGCCTAACACCTTTGGGCTGACTCTGCTCAGCATGTAAGTATGTGGCTTATTTCACTGTGACAGGGGTAATGTATTTGTAAACTGTGCTATAAATATTGGAATCTCATATTCAGACACCGGCATATCTCATATTCAGACACTGGCATTTCTGAGCTATGCTTTTTCAAATGAATTTAGAATTGACAAAAATTTTCAAAGCCAAATTACTAGTGTGTCACTGTGAAATTAAGTTCTTGACCCCGCTTCTGATGTGTGCTTCTTTCCTCCACATTTTCTCCTTCAATTTTATGCATCACTATTCACTGCTGAAATTGGTGACATGGCTCTCCCAAAAGGGGGTAAGTAATACTTTAATACACCTCGGAGATGAGGCTGGCTTTTTTTTCCCCATGAATATTCTGAAAGCTAGCTGTCACTTCAGCCAATTGATATCCCTACGCTTCATTACAGGGGAGAGTGAACTGCTCATCCTGGGCCAGAGCCTCGAAAACTTTATTCCATCTCCAAACGTCTTCAACTTTCATTATGCCAACCTAACCGTGTTTTTCTATTATTTTAAGTGTGTTCCATTTAAGACTGAAGAGTCTTGTGGATAAATCAAAATGCCATAGGGCGCCTCTTAGACTCGCATCAAAACTTACCCTGGACTGGGCAGGCTGCTTGAGGCAGGCTAGACTTCATACAGATGAATTTTTCCTGGGAGAAACAGGTACTATCATTCAATGGTGTGTGTGTGTGTGTGTGTGTGTGTGTGTGTGTGTGTGTGTGTGTGTGTGTGTGTGTGTTATGTGTATGTGTGACCAGTCATCAGAATTTTAGGGTGGATTGAGCTTCTCAAATGTGAAAATATTAACAAACAGGCAGAGAAACAATTCTTTCATAGAATATATCAAGAAAACATTCACAGCTATGGTTGTAATGATTTGGAGAGCATTCCCTTCACCATACCAATGTGGAGATAATCATTTCAGAATATTTAAGACAATGCATTTCATAAAATTCTTCAATTAAGATGACATGAGCTGCTCAAACAGCATTCTGCTGTGCCCCAACTTGATGTCTCTTTATCTAACACTGGTGGAATATTAGAATCACAAAATGACATGGCTGCAAAGAATTGGGACTGAGTTCTGTTCATCGTGGTGGGTGAGGTTAGGTTCCAGGGGCTCTCCCTCAGGGGACTTTCCCCATGTTATCACTTTCTGATACTGATTTGAGAACAAGCATGCACATCCACGTTTGGGTTCCTTTAAGCTCAAGATCACGGTCAAATGAAAAACTCTGTCGTGGCATATTGAGAAAACACCCATTGATTCTCCTCCTTGATTATTGATTCGTGAATTTAGGATGATCTGAATCCAAGATGGATTTCATTTCATCTCCTTCTAAATATATCGCCATTACTGCCCCGAGTGAGGCCAGCAGTAGAAAGCTACCATCGCACATTTATACACAGCCAAATAAATCTGGGCTGGTGACCTCATGGTGCACAATTTATCACGCAGCTGTCACCGGGAGCCATCTGTACAGGTTCAGGACGATGGAGCGACTTGTGGGACCTTTTCAACTAAGAGTTCTGTAATATGAACTTTCATTCCCCGTGGAGATTCTATCAGATCCGTCTCCCTCGCCTGCTTTTTTTTTTTTTTTTTTTTTTTTTCTTGGATTGTAAGACTCCAGCTGCCAGCTGTCTTAGCTGATTTAAAGGGTGTGTTGGTCCTGGCTGCTGCTTGCAGTTATCACACTCACTGGCTAGGGGTCTGAGTGTCTGTTGGCCCAGAGGTGGATAGTCTTGTCTTCTTTCCCCGGCTGAATTCTGCACTAGAAAGGCATGAACCCCCCGGGTGCAACCACATCTGCTTCCCTGGGAGCTGCTTGTTTGCTGTACAGTTCTGGTTTCCCTGAGGGAATTTAAGCCGAACACAACAGGAATGGAAGAGGCACCCAGGTCAACGCACTGAGACCACAATTCCATTTCTTCTGCACCGAATGTCATAGGAACATGCTTCCTGGGTTCTGAGAGTGAAGGGGAGTGGATTGGTGATGCAGCTCTGTACAGGTCAAGGCCCCGAGACATGAGGGACAGCTTAATTTCACCCACAGACTCTGGGCCATCCCTTAATCAAACACATCAGGCCGTCTTCCGGGAGTATTGTTTTATAAGGTGTTTGCTTTCACTCTCATCCATTTGGATAGTTTCTGATGGAGAGGGAGAATGTTCTCAGTAAGAGGAATCATGTAGGCAGAACTGTTCCTGAAAAGGAATTTGATAGCAACCGCTAAGCTCTCAATTAGAGCCAAGTCATAAGGATTTGCTACTAATCTACAGCGGAGGCCAAGCTCCTCGGTAAAAACCCGCCTGGTGTTTGCAGATCTCAAACACATCCTGTGTATCACAGGAATGCGCTTCCTTCTCGGATTTAGATATTGGAAATGCTATGTGATTAGACTAAGACAATCATTTTTATGTCTATCTCTGATTGTTTTCTCTCTGCCCAATCCTCAGAGGCACTGAACTCTACATGGACCTGGAAAATGGGGCTTCCGGTTGACGGAAACATACAGGATGTTGCCAGTGGACCACACAGTTAAAATCAAGTATACATACAGGGTACAAGAGAAGGCCACTCCCAGCCACTGTTCAGGTAAGCAGGGCTTGTCATATGGAATTTCAAAATCCAGGCTTCACTGGCTCACGTAATCACAGGCTTCTCTCCCCAGCCTCTGTTGCAGTTCTGCAAAACCATCAGGAAGCTCTTAGGAGGAACGGAGTCCTTCTTCTGGGAGGCACATGATTCTGCCTCGAAAGCATTCTCCCAGGCTGCAGGCTAGTGATTTAATGAGCACAGCATTATATCAAGCGCTCTCTCTCTCTCTCTCTCTCTCTGTGTGTGTGTGTGTGTGTGTGTGTGTGTGTGTTTGCTCGTATGTGTGCGGGTACATATTTGGGGGTGCGCTTGTAATCACAAGACAACTTTGAGACTTGGGGTGTCAATCCTTTTATGTCATCTACCTGTTTGTTTGTTTGTTTGTTTGTTTGTTTGTTTGTTTGTGTCAGAATCTTTCGCTGTCATGGAACTTTAAAGAATAAGCTGCCAAACCTGGCTTTGGCTTTTTATTATACATGAAGGTTTTGGGGGATTGAACTCAGGTCTTTCTTCTTGACGTTCACTACTTTACCGGCTGAACCATCTCCCTCCTCCAAGGTGGACCTCCCTCCATCACCTGAAATGGACCCTCACCTGAGGGGACCACTCTTGACCCCCACAAGAAGCAGAGCTGGCTCTTTGCTTCTTCAAAGTGTTCAGCCTTCCAGGGTTCCCATGGGCCTCTGCGGTCCCTTTAAACAAAATGATGAGAAGTGATCAGATCTGAGCCGTTCCTTCGGTACAGCAGGAGGATTTCTGGAGGCAAGACACCTGGCTGGCCTCGAGTGGTGATTAATTTTATGTGTTTAGGGTGCAATCATCACTCAGAACAAAAAGGTTGAGGGGCTGTGATGAGAAGTGACGGGCAGGAAGGAGGTGCCCGTGGAACTGCCCTACGCCATCGGCTCCTTTGATCACCAGCAGAAGCCCAGAGATAACTGTGTTGCATCTGCCAAGATTAAATGTCTGCCATAGGCCTTGCAGAGTGCTGTTCTCAAAACAGCTGGAGAACCACAGTGCAGCAACAGCTGGAGCAGAGAAAGGCTTTTTTTTTTTTTTTGGTATGTGTCTTCAAAAACAACACGAATCAATTTCTAGATGGCATTTAAGTTATGTTTGGTGAGAAGCGTATGTGGTGGATCCTGTGGCATGCTGCCCAAATGCCCAGCCCCACCTCAAGGCTGAGGCAGGCAATGTCTCCCCCAACCCAAGTTCCCGCTCTCCATTCCACTCTGGAGTTGCTAAGTCCGCTAACTGTTTACAGGTGCATTTGTCCCTGGGCAGGAAGGAATGGCCTTTCCCTGGACATTCCTGTCCAAAGACTGGTCAGGAATCAAGACACAAAAACAAGCCTCTTTGTTTCATTTTGTGACAACTTTGGGCATCCCAGAATCTGTGTTTCATGTGGCATCTGGACTGGCTTTGTTGCCCAGCTCTGGCTTGCAGTATTCATCCTTAGCAGGTATTCTAAGCATCCTCTATAAACAAACCTCCATCTCAGAGTCTGTTTCCAGAAAACCCAACTTAAGACAATGATCATCTATGTGGGAAAGCACATGAATGCAGGATGGCAGCAGATGAACTTTTGTCCTCCAAACTTACATTCATGTCAAAAGTAAGAACTCGGCCAGGTGACAGAGGCCGCGGTGCACACAGAGTCATACATCATCAGTTCCTGCAGCTCCGGCGACAGACGGCTCTCTGGTTGAAGCTTGCCTTGGTGAACAAGGATGTTACTAAACAACTACTAATCAGGAAAATGATGTATGGATTAAAGGGAACATTCCTAAAGCATTGTTGCTCAATCAAAGAGATTTAGGAAAGGGATTCTTGCACCAACCAGAGGAGGAAATAAAATGCCCCTTTTGTACTTCAATTAGCAAACAATAATTTGGGTATTGGAAGCAAATGTTTCTTCTTTTATCATATGAATTCCACAGTTCTTTGCCCAATGCTGTCCCCTGCAGGGTAGAAAAAATCCAATCAGAAGAATCTGAGCCACTTACCAGCCAAGAATCCTAGAGATTAAAGCTTTGGGGACTAAGGCTGTGTTCCAGGAACCAGCACTCCCAACAGTGCCTTGTCTAGGAAAATGTCACCTTCTCCTGGAATGCGATCACCTAACCATCACCCAAAAGTGCTCTCTGGGTTTTCTTGGTTAAGCGTGGGTGGGTCCCCAACTTGCCTCTTCGGAGTGAGGGAGTGGTGCTGTATTTTGAGAAACTCTAGAGACAGCAAATCCAGGCTGGATTGTCTATGAGTTGTGAGTACAGCATTCTTCCAGACAGAAAGGACGTCTTTTTTTTTTTTTTAAGAGTGAAGCAGAAAAAGCCTGGAGGAAAAGGCTCTAAGATGAGGTGAGCGCAGAGAACCAATAACTCTAAGCTATTGTTCCGGAAGGCAGCATTCTGTTCTCCAGCATGAGAAGCAAGACCAAGGATCTGTTACAAAGAGACTGTAGACAAGTATGAGCTTCATTTCAGAGGGGTCTCCTAGGATCCAGACACATCTAAACAACACCCACCTGTCCTGGAAAGAATGCTGGTAGCATGGGAACCCTGGGGGACCCGCTTCCCCTCTGGCTCACACGGTCCCCACAGACTTCCAGACTTCCCAGGAGACCAAAATGAGCCTCTCTGGAAGGAGCGTGCTCTCTCTATTTGCATAGAATGGAAAGACTTCGTGTGTGTGTGTGTGTGTGTGTGTGTGTGTGTGTGTGTCTGTCTGTCTGTCTGTCTGTCTGTCTGTCTGTCCTGGGTGTAAAAACTAAAGCCCAACCCCCCCCTGCCCCCCAGCTTCTCTTTGCAGGCTGCAAGGTTTGGGTGACTGTCTGCCTTGTTAGTGCAGATGATGGTGGCAGTGATGACTTGACATGAAATGAGTCATGTATTCCTCATGATGTTCTCACAAGGTAAGGATTATAATTATCCCATTTTGTAAATGAGAATTCTGAGATCCAAGAATGAAATCCCTTGACCAATGTCACATAGTCAGCAGGGTGGAATCAGCCCAAGGGCTTCTTCACTTTCCAGGGAACAAAAACAATGCATAGAGCCTTCCTCCTCACTTGTACTTCAAAGTGAGAGAACACAGGTATGACGCCTAGAAACACGCTTTGAAATGTTAACCCTTTAGATGCCAGGAAGAGATGGGAAGATGAACCGGGTCTCAGGTCTCAGAGGGATTAGGAACAACATCTGAAAAATCATTCATTTTTACACAGAACAGTCTCTACACCAGCCCCTGGCTGGAGACAAAATTGGCCATGGCTCTGATCTTCCGGTATGCCCTGTGTGTTGTTGGAGAGGGCCTTGCCTCCTTCATACCCTTCCCACTGAGGGGGTCAGTGAGCTGCCTGAAATCTCGCTCTCCCTCTGAGAAGCCAGTGGGTTGAGGCATAGACATTTATTCCTTCGAGAACAGGGTAGTCAGTGCTCTCCACATGTTTGACGCTGTTCAGTATCGTCTCTTAGAGTCCCCGGGAGGAAGCCAACAAGAACTAGACGAATACAGGGAAGCCCTCACCCCTTCTGTTGCCCTATCCCTTGCTGAAGAGGATGGATGGTCTGTGTGGATGGTTGGCATCTACCACTCTTCTGCTCCTTCCTGAACCAGACCAACTCCATTCCTTGCATAGAAAGAAGAAAACCATTCAGCTCAATTCACGTGTAGTGGAATCTATGTGTAGCAGAGGGTCCCACGAGCCATGCTTGCTGCCTACTGACTACATGGGAACCCTCTCCTTCTAGTGGAAGAAGAGCCTTAGAGATTCACCCCGCAAGTGCGGCCTGCTCATGGAGCTAGAAGGCCAACAGCTCAAGACAGATATAATGCCTGGCCTTATTTAAGCCTTAGTTTTACCGCAGCAATAACCTGTCATTTTTCTTACAATGTCCCGTGTAAGACCCAAGTCCATGATCATTAAGAAGTTTCTAGAGTTGGATGGATGTTACAAACATCAGTCTCCTTCCCTAGAAGCTTCTGCCTTCCATCCAGTAGACACTTTGACCTTTGCTTAGCATCATTAAGAAGGAGAGAAAGCAGCTAATCTGCTGCCATAGATGCCTGACCTTTTAGTGGAGCGGGAACCAGCGTGCGGCACCATCATTGAGCTTCCGATGCAGGAGGCAGGTGGTATCCTAGCAGGTGACTGTGGAGGACAGTGGCCTGACCAGGAAGTGCCACACCTCAGCTACAGCATCTTGGGCTTAGGGACAACAAATTGGAGGAAGAGAATCTTGTGAAGTGCCACCCCTCAGCTTCATTTCTGAATGCAGATGTTGCCTAGAGTGTCTGTAACAGGAATTTACCCACTAGCAGGGACATTTAAGTAGGATCCAGTGGGCCATCCCTCCTTTTACTCATCAACAACAGTTTGTTAGATGATGTGGGCCAGATGCTTATGTGAACGAGGGCCATGACAAGGAAGAAAACGTCGGAACCTCCTAATAGCAGGGAACTGATACATTCTTGTTGAAAAGATAGAAAACAAGTTTAATACATGCAACAAGTAAGCAAAATGCAGGCCAACAAAACAGTGACAATTCCTAAGGGAAAAAGTAATGCAGAAGGGCAGAGGGATAGGGTGCTTGTGGGTGGTATAAGTTGAATCTTAATTCTGGGAAGAGGCTGAGATGGGAAATAGCAATTGGATTTGTTTCTGTTCTCTCTTCTGAGAGAGGCAGGACAAAAAAGGTATGCTGCTGGCCAGGGAAGCCCACAGCCGATGCAGCCCTGCAGCCTCCTCCGTGCTTTGTAGCTGGACATTACTGCCATACAAATTCATGCTGGGCCTGAAGAAGCTGTGAAGTCCACCTAGATCAAGGAAACGATCGTTCTTCGGTAAGTGAATCAAGCAGGTAGACGTGCATTGTAGAGGGATTTATAACCACAACTAAACAGGGAGGGCTGCCCATAGCCTGCATAATATAATAATAAATACAATAAAGCAATATGATCGAATAGGAGCGATGTTATATAATGGAAATGTTATAGTACAATTATTTAAAAAGCAATAGCGTCTTCTTCACACTAAGGTGGGAAAGCTTTACAAACTGAGCAAGGACCTAATGTGTGCACTAATTGCTGGCTGAACATGTGTACCTTCCCTAGTTCCTCTCCTAGTCTGTGTCCTGTGGCAGGCACTAACCACCTCAGGCTGGCTCCAGTTGGTCCTGGAAGCATTTAGCCAATGTAGGCACTGGCGATAGAACATTAGAGGAAGGAAGAGAGAGCAGCCCTCGACCCCCTCTCCTCTGCTTCATGGAGCATGTCTGTCAGAGGCCACAGCTCTACCTCAGCACAGTGTCAAGCAGCCTCTCCACCTCAGCTGAGCTCTCCATTTCAGCCATATAGTACATCCATCTCAAGATTTCACTGCCCTCTGGCTAGTCCTGGCTCCTAAGCCTGACCCCAGGGCCAGCTCTAGGAGTTTTAGAAGCTGCTGCTGGTAGAATCTGGGTTGCCCCTTCCTCAATGTGTTCTTTTAGCACATTCCCCAAGACATTTGGTTTAGTGTATTAAATTTCCCGGACTAAGCTACTGGAAATGGTTCTGTGCCCCTAACTGGACTCTGGTGTGAATGAATGTATGCTAGCTTCAGCAGCTCCCATGCTGAGCAGTAGAGCTCTGTTTATAAAGTGCCCAGGCATCCTTGTAAACCAGCAAAAGCAGCATGTGTCAACCATAGGGAATTCTTTGAGTCACTGTTCTATTACCCTAGTTCCATCGGCCCTCCATAATCCCCATTACTATTCTTCACTAAAGGACCCTCTCTGCGTCCTGACTACCCTCTCTAGACAGTCTAGACCTTGGCTTCTTAGTCCCAAGAACTAGGACCAGTGAATTGGTTCGTGGGCCACGTTTAAGGGCACTTTCCGTGTCTGCACTTGGAGGTTGGGAACTTGCAGCCTAATAGGTATGAATCTATTTGCTTTGTATTTTTGTTAAATAAATGCCAGTCTGACTTCCATCTTGGATCCTCTGATGTGGAAGAGCAGCCATTCATACCTAGGAACCTAAGATTGTCCCTTGTCCTAGTAACTCATTGCACAGTGATGTCACACACACTCAGACACCCAGCCTAGCAGACATTTGTCACGACTGTCTTAGTCAGTGTTCTAGTGCTGTGAAGAGACAACCACTGCAACTCTTATAAAGAAAAACATTTGACTGGGGCTGGCTTACAGGTTCGGAGGTTTAGTCAGTTATCTTCATGGCGAAACACGTGGTGGCATGCCGGCAGACATGGTGCTGGAGAAGTAGCTGAGAGTTCTACATCAGGATCGGCAGGCAGCAGGAAGAGAAAGAGACACTGAGCCTGCCTTGAACTTCAGAAACCTCAAAGCCCACCCTCTAGCACATTTCCTCCAACAAGGCCACACCTACTCTAAGAAGGCCATACCTCCAATAATGCAATTCACTGAGTCTATGGGGGGGGGTCATTTTCATTCAAACCACCACAGTGATGTAAACCCAATAGTGGCTTGTTTTTCACATAGTAGGTCCTCAATAAACTGGTGTTGAACTAGGGCATAGAAGTGTCCCTTTCCAAGCAACTTTGGTCTCATGAAGTGAAACAGACTCCTTTGCTCCTCTCTATTTCTCTAATAGTGACATCATAAAGATGTAACCATCTGTAAAGGTGAAAGGAGCCGAGTTGAGGTTCCAGCAGCTACTGGGAAGTGCAAGATTGGCTCCTTCTAGCTCCTGTCCCAGGACCGAATCAGAGATAGGAATGTCAAGTGCAGGATTCCAGGACTGTAAACTGTTTATGTGTGTGCTGAGAAACCTCACTCCTCGCCTGGGCAGGCCGCTGATGCACAAGGTCCCCTCATTCCCAGCAGACATCACACAGTTATATTTTTTCTGTGGGTGGCAGTGAGTTCTGCCTGGGTGGCAGGGTTGAGGCTGGGCCATGTGGCGACAGCCCAGGAGAAGAGGCCAGCCAGGGTGGAGTGACTGACTACTGCCATCAATTTTGAGTGAATGAGTGCTGTAATTTTACCCAACACCTAGTTTATGTGCCTGGCAACCACCTCCTGGGCCAGCATAGAGTTTATAGAGCAAGAAATCAAACGTCAGGAGAAGCACAGCCAGGCTGGCAGGAGGGCCGGCTTGGGACCTTTACCTGCTGAGCTTGCAGATGGTGAAGGAGCAATCAGAGGGTTCCTGGAATCTGACTCATGCTGGGTGGCAGGAAGATGGATAGAAAAGAGACTGTCTGCACACGTTGTCCCAGAGGCCCCGACATCACAGAATATAGCACAGAGTATCTGAAGAATGTGGAGACAAGGAATAGACCGGAGAGGCACACGCGCGACCTGGAACCTGGGATCCACCCAACTGTTGTCGGGCAGTAAGCGGGGCACGGCCCCCTCCGCACTGTGCTCATCTATCCTACGGGGCAGTGCTGGTATCCGCTTCGCGGGGTGCTTGTGGGGACTGAAGGAGAGAGTTCACTTACATCCCAACTCCACAGCAGACGGAGACTGCACAGCGAGCAAGTGTTGTTGCTCTGATTACAATCGTCATGTAGCTCTGGTCTCCACAGTAACTGTCCTCATGTGGCGGCCTGTGCCAGCCCCCAGGACCCCTCAACTCAGGCTTCTTCTTGCCCACTCCATCCATTTGGATGGCACTGTCCTCTTAACAGAAAGAGTTGCTACCCTGGAAAGGTAATACCACTGGCCCACTCTCCTATTCCCAGCGAGGCCCACTCTCCCCCTTCCTGTGTGGCCCACTCTCCCCCTTCCTGCGTGGCCCACTCTCCCCCTTCCTGCGTGGCCCACTCTCCCCCTTCCTGCG